TTTTTTTCGATGACACGCGCAGCTCTAGCTATGTACCATTTCTCTTCAATTCAAGCTTTCCTCTTCGCGGTACCCTCCTGCGAACGGAGAACGCCGCTAGGTTCTGCACTGTTCATGCTCATCTGTTAGTTGTTCATGTGGTTTCATTTTGCCTAGGACGACTCCCGGCCGCGTCGAGCGATGGAATCTTTGTCAGAGCTGAGCCTTACTGACCTGGTCCAACACTTGATTGCAGTTGTATTCGAATTGGCTCGCCGCTTTCGTGTTCCGATTGCCAGTCAACCGGAGTCACCGTATCGTCCGGAGCCTGCGCCAGAGATTCCGCATTGCGCTCGAGTTTGTGTCTTTTGCCGGGAGCTTTGTTGCCGTCGAGAACCAGGTCATAAGCGTCATAAGTGCCCCACCCATTTGCATTGGCGCTAAGTATGTCGGATAGTGAGTCCTGGTCTTTCATTGAACCGCAGCCCAAAAGCAGCCCTCTGACCGCACCGATTCGGGATATTCGCCCTCGGATTCGATCACCCTTTCAGGCATGCGCAAATTCGGATTCAGCGTTGCCATCAGCGAGAGCCTCAGCTCCTTACCAAGTTTCGAACTTGTCTAGAGGTCGGCCACTTCCAGTCCCATGCACTCCAGGCCCAATTCGCAGGGCACCTATCCCTTCCATGAGTTGTATAAACCCGCCCACTCCTAGACAGTCAGTCACTTCCCACTAGCTTGCAGTCTGTTGATCCGATGGACGTCCATCTAGTTGGATTCAGTTCTGAGTCAATCGCCATTCCTAGCCACCCAATACCTAAGCGCCAGCAACGTGGATCACTGCCGGGGCCCCGTCAAGTGACAAACGCCTTGACGCATACCTTTCGTGCTAAGTGTCCCAGTCAGGATCCCAGTCTGCTTGAGAAATGGCGCGATCTTTTGCATCAGTTGGGACCCCTGTCAGGTTTGTTCGCGCAAACCCAGGAGTCGGTACACGGCGTGGCCCACAGCGACCGCGTTTTGGATGTCATCGCCCCTAGTACGGCACTGAAATATATCACCTCTATGAGAAACTTCATGCGGATTTGCTTGCAGATGAATATATCTCTTGCATCGATGTCGGATGTCGTATTGGCAGACGTGCTTTTGACCCTTCAACTGAGCAGGTCTTCGGATGAGTTGAAGATCTCATGTCATGCCACGATCAAGGCCATTCGATGGATGGCGAAACACGCAAGTGTTCGAGCCTTAGACTGTGCGTTTTCAGACATTGTGCTTTTTGTCCAGAAAAGTCCCTAAAGCCAAACGGGAGGCCCCACCGCTGCCCCTGTGGACCCTGGTGCAATGGGAACGTAGATCCTTATCTTGGGTTCTTTCCTATTCATGATTTGGAGCGGACTGAGATTCGCAGACCTCCAAAGAATCACGCTCCCGGACCTGATCCTGGATTCCCGGAACGCCCGGGGTTGGTGCTGGAGGGCAAAAACCTCCGCGTCGGGGCACGCGTTTGGAGTCGTCTCGAGCGGCTTCCTCAGCCGGGGAAGTCACACGTGGCTCTGGAAATTTTTGACCACTCTGGACACGGTCTTGAGCGCGCAGGATTCCAAAGTCATTGACTTCCTTCTCCCTGCTTGCACACTTCAAGGGGTTATTTATCCCCTCGAACCGATGGCGTACGCTGGTGCCTTGGCGTTTTTACGAGAGCTTGCGCATTGCGACTGGCGCTCACAGCCCAGCCCGTTGGGCGACATTGCATTGTCATTCACAGTCCATAGCCTGAAGGCCACACTGCTGAGTTGGGGCCCTCAGTTGCACGAGGTCGTATCAAAAGAGGTGAGATTGGCTCAAGGGCACCATAAAGACTCCAACCAATCCTTGGATCTTTACGGCCGGGATAGTGTTTGTGGATCACTTCAATTCCAACAAATTGTAATCAATCAGGTCCGCGCCGGGTTTCGCCCTCAGATTGCTCAACATCGAGGTGCTCAGGCACCTTTGATTGAACCCCCAGTGAGTTTAGAGGCCTTCAAAAAAGAGATCCCTCAGTACACTTGGAAGTGGTTTGACTTCAATTCCCCCTCGGGGGAACGCGTTGTGGAGGTGGACCTCCCGGATTGCGTTGAGGAAGACTCCTCCTCGGATAGCTCAAGCTCTTCCGATGACTCGGTACAGGAAACAAATCCAGCAGTTTCGAAGCGTTCCCAACCACCCGTGGTGGACGAAGTCTTGATGGCCAAGTATCGCACCGTGGTGCATGCGTTGCTTGACGACTTGGAGTCGACGGAGACCGATTCCGCAACACAGCTCCTTCGCACGGCCTGTGGCCGCAAGCTCCCCAAATTCGCCACAGTGGTGATAGATTCGATCGATAGCACATTGACATTGTGCCAGCATAGTGGTTGCCGAAAGGCCTGGGCATCACTCGGATGAATGCGTTGTATGAGTCAAAAAGAGGTGAACAGACACTCACTTTCTGCTTTATGTTGCATTTTGTGTGGAATCAGATGGAAACACCACATTGTTCACACCTGAACAGGGGTCTTCGGCCAAAACCCCTGTTTCGAATGTCTTTCCAGTTTTTTTGAACAGAAGATCAAGCTTTGCTTCAGGTTTGCAGTTCATGTGCAGTCAAATGGGAAACCCAACATGTCACTTTACGTTTCTTTTTGGGACAGGCAGGACTTGGTGGCGTGGATTCAAACTCACTGGTTTTTGGCGTCGGTCGCTTTTGATGTAGAAACAGGTAGGAGGAAGGTGGTCACGAAGTGATAACCATGTCTTGCTGCCCGGCGTAAGTAATACTGGAGCGTAGTACTGATTTTGAGTATTCTGGGTACAAAGAAATGCAGACGATGCTGCCCAAGATGGAACGCATTATTGGCACCACGGGCCGGGAAAAACAGGTGTATCAGATACACCTGGTTTCTCAACGAAATTGGATATATATATATATAACCGCTTGTATGGGTTATATGTCTACTGTATAATGTAAGTTCCTTTGTTTTTGGCGTTAGATACGAGGATTTCCAGGGGTCCGTTTCGGGTACGTTCCGCAGGACTTGGCAAAGCTCAGTTTTTTTTCGGGACGTTTCGAATGACTTGCCGCTTGTTTCAGGATGCAAAAAAACAGGAATGCATAGGTAGTTCTGGCGTTTTGAGAAGTTTCATCATGAGATATCTCATTGAACGTTCTTTCCATGTTCACACAAGCTTGCTTTCTCAACTTTTTCTTCCATCAGTTCCCATATACCTCTTCTCAATTTCAGGTGTTATCACCGCCGTCTCCAGTGCCATGGACGAGCCAGGTGAATCCTCACCTCTGGAGGACCTACTGGCCAGGAGTGGCGTTCCAGCCATTCTATCCTCCCGCCTGTTGGCAGAGGGCTGGACCTTAGATTCATTTGCATGCAGTGCCACTTCTATGACACAGTTTGACGACATCTTACCAGAATTGTTGCCTTCGGAAGAGGTCAGCTTGTTGCACAAAGCCGCACTACGCTTGGCATTCAAACAGGCGAATAGTCTTCCGAGCAGCTCTTCCGGCGGGCCGGGACCGTCATCTGGGCCTTCAGGCCAGTCAGATTCTCCGAGTTGGGTTGAGACCTTCGCACCGAAGCTAGAAGCCGAGACCATTCGTAAGTTGAAAGCAACATTTTTGTCGAACTACCCGTCGGAATTGTTGTCCCCGGAAACCATGCCTAGTACTCGCCTGTTAAGCTTGGTGCACCATCAATTGGCAAAACGCCAATGGCATTGGATCCCATGGAAGTTCCGCCTTTCAGCTTCGAAAGCAGAGGAAATCTCACAGCAGCGCTCGGCTAAGATCCCCAAATTGGACTCAGTGACATTGCAATCCCTTTTGTGCGATGATCCGCCATCCATTGAAATCTCGAACCAAGGCATGGGACTTCATGCCATGAGAACCATGTTCGATGTCCATAACTTAGCCATCGCACTTTGCAATGGTGCACACTTGGCTACATTGAAAGGATATACACAGAAGTTCATGAGCTTTGTTACACAGAAAGTGGATGCAGAAACGGGACTTCGCACAGCGTCGATCTTAGAGTGCCAAGCAGCGGATCGTCATGTTTGGCAACAGGTGTCTGACCTGATGCTTGACCGAAATTGGTCCATGGACGACGCGTTGTATGAATTCACACATATTCGACATGAGCTTCCGAGTTTGTTGCAGTTGCGCCCCCGCCTGCCGAAACCACAGCAGACTCCTTTCTTCAAAGGAGCAGGACCTAAAGGGCTTGATCACAAGGGGAAAGGGAAGGGTAAGTCCAAGTTCCTTCCCAAGGGCGGCAAAAGTCGCCCGCAGTGGATCACGGAGTTGTGGAAAGATGGAAAGATGATGCAACTCTGTATGCGATATCAGACCAACAAGTGCACGGTGCCCAACTGTCGCTTTCTGCATGCGTGTGCCTTCCCAAAGGGAGACCAGACAGCTTGTGGAGGTGATCGCTCCGCCTTGGACCATTCCAAGGTTCCGCACTGACTAGGTTCAACGTCGGACGTCGCAGCGATGCCGGCACCTTCAAATGAAGTGACGGCCCCATCGGTTTCTACGCCAGTTTCATCTCCCAAAGGGAATCAGCAGGTCGCGGAGCCTATTCCTTCTGGCCCATTTTTTCCACAAACGGATTTGACAGACGAACCACGCGATAGTTTGGAACCACAACAACATGAAGCAGCTCGTCCGGAAGTCGGGGAGACACCACCCTTTCCTCCACCATGTCCGGTGTCGACGTTGGACCTTTCTCAAAGCCCTCCAGGTCCTCGGATATTTCTGGATTTGTGTTGTGGGGTTTCCAAGCCGCTTTCTACAGCCATCCAAGCCTTGGGCAAGCCTGTGGTCGCCTTTGATATTTTGTGTAATCCTCAGGATGATTTGTTGGACGACAGCCGCTTTGAACAACTTCTCAAACTGTGCGCCTCCGGCATAGTAGCGTATGGATGTGCCAGTCCATGTTGTTCACAGTATAGCCGCCTCAAACTTAGGAATGATGGCGGTCCTCGTGCCCTTCGTACTCCTGAACACTTGGAAGGCATTCCAAATCTCAACGCAGCGGACTTAGAAAAGGTTCAGGCCAGTTCCACCATGTTGTATCGCTGTATAATTTGCTTACAGTTGATTTTCTTAGCAGGAGGTCACGTGCATTTGGAACAGCCGACCAATGCCATGTCTTGGTCAGAGGCTTTTGTACAAACCTTCCTCAAACTGATTTCAGCGCACTGCGTATCCATTGCAGCGTGTGCATATGGAGCGAACTGGCGCAAGAGCTGGATGTATGCCTCCAGCTTTTCAAGATTGACGGAATTGGCCAGCCACTGCAACCATGGTCCTCAGGCCCATGAGGCCATCTATGGGGTTTCCGATCAGACCGGCCTCTTCAAGAGTAGGGCCACTGCTTGCTACCCTACGGCATTGGCCACCGCCTTCGCATTTATAGTGCAAGACCTTCTGTCGGACAATCCGGTCTCCCTTTCTTTGGACCAGGCCATATTCTGGATTCCCTCGAAGCCAAGAGCAGCCCCTCCATTTGGCTCCGAAGACGGTGGTGGTTTACCATCGGTCCCAGACTGGGGCATGGACAACAGGGTTCAGCCAGATGTCTTCCGATCATTGAGACGAACCTGGGTGGACGAGATCCTCACTAGGAAGTTGCACAAGGAATTGGTGGCGCATTTTGCTAGTGGTTCCAAGACACCTCCATTTAGCGAAGAGACGTTGGCACCATTTCGCCAGTCTTTGAATGAGTTTTTGAGCGCACATGGCTTGAGTCCGGATTGGAGCATCAGGGAACATCAGCCGATGGCCCTCCGCATCATGAGAATGTTGCACTCGATCCAGCAAGACTGGGACGTATCACTTTTCCCTTCTCTGGAAGAGGGTTCGAACGCAATATTCCATTGTCAAACTGCTTCCCACTTCGATCGCAGTCGGCTCGATTCACTGAAGACGTGCCGCTCTCAGCCCATCTTTCCAACTGGAACTCCGCCGAGTCTGACCTGGACCTCACACGTAAGTTAGTCCAAGTCGAGTTGGACGAAGGATGGGTCTTTGAGTATCAGGGCTCCCTAGAGGATGCACAAAGGGACTTCCCCCTAGGAGTGTCTATTGGTAAACTTGGGGTGGCCACAAGTCCGCATAGACCTCCAAGGCTTGTCGTAGATAATTCAGTAAGTGGATTAAATGCTCGGTGCTGGATCCCAGAACACTCCACCTTGCCTTCCGCCAAGGACCTACTGAGATGCTGGCCCCTGCGAGAACAGCAGGGGGATCTCGAAGGGTTCAGCCTTGACATTAAAGCAGCCCACAAACGAGTAGTCATCCATCCCTCGGAACAGGGGTTGGTTGGCTTCAGTCTTGATGGCAAGTTGTTTTTCTACAGGGTCGCACCGTTTGGAGCGTCATTCAGTGCAGCTTGGTGGTCCAGAGTAGGGGGATGGCTTCTCAGGTTCTTCCACCAATTTTTGTGGTGGAGTCACGTCGGCCTATTGTATGTAGACGATTTCATATTTTTCATGAACAAGATGATGATGCCAGTAGGTGCAACGCTAATATGCATTTTTTGCCGTCCTTGTCAGATTCCAATCTCTTGGGGAAAATCCGAACTTTCAAGTTCCCTCAAATGGATCGGCTGGGTCTTCCATTTAAATAGTGGATACATTGAACTTCCTAAGGACAAGCTTTCCAAGCTTTTGGAATACTTGAAAGAATTGCAATCGGCATCCAGAACGTCGCGCAAAACATTGGAAAAATTCATTGGTCTTTGTATGTGGGTCACTCAACTGTTCCCCTACATGCGAATTTGGCTTCATCACTTGTATCATGATTTATATGTGATTCCAAGCACTTTGTTCAGCTTAGACCCGGCGTATTGGCCACGCCTCCCACAGTTTCTGTCAGACGAGTTGAAGTTCCTTTCACAGCCTCCTTTTACTGCATTTCCCCTAGGAGGGCAAATCATTTCCGTACGACATCAAACAGTTCGATCTCTGGCCGAGTTGCAGCAAGTCCGAATCTCAGACAAGCGCATTTGGATGAGAGTCTGTGATCCCTCATCCGGAAGGCGTAAATTGTCTTCGCATTCGCATCGAATCTTGAACATGTTTCGTCAATGGATTGAATTTTTGCCTCCCCTTCGACCCATGCAGAGAAAGCGGTACTGGACTGGCACCGCCGCTGCCGATGCTTGTGCTTCAGGAGGTTCACGCCAGATCGGAGGATTCATTCGAGACGCCCAGGGTGTCACCCATTGGTTTTCAGAAAAGTTTGAGCATAAGGACTTCCCATTGGATCAAGTGCCTCTTGAAGCAGACATGCAAAAACATATTGCTTGTTTTGAGACTCTTGCTCAAATTGCACTCCTGCTGATGACTGCCAAGACTTATCCATCCTTTCGAATTCCAATACGCTTGAAAAGCCTCAGTGATAACACAGGCGCAGAAGCGGGCAGTAACCGGATGTTCAGCACATCCTTTCCGCTTTGCCTATTTCTGGAGAAGCTTTGTTTGTTTGCAGCCCTGACTTGCATGGAGATGGATGTATCGCACATCCCTGGTGCTGAAAACGTCTCGGCAGACCAACTTAGCCGATGGGATTTCATCACGCCTTTGCCAGGCTTCGAATTGTCTTCCCGTGTCCGCATACCGCTTTCACAGCTTTGGTTCGATCCGAAACCGGTTTCACTTCACCCGGAGTCAACTCGTCTCCTTTGGTCTCTTCCTTCTTGATCTCTTGCTGAACTTGCCCCTTCACGATTTCTTTGGGGGTTCCTTCGGGCGAATGGTCAAGTTCCCTGATAGTTTTAATGGGGGTCAAAGAGCCATCAGGTTCACTTGACTGAAATCTCACCCCAGAATGATCAGCAAGAGAAAAAGAAGAAAGAGATTAACAAATAAGGTGAGGATAGATGCTTTATATTATGAAGTATCACTTATATATCTGTTTGGTTTCAATTATACTATACATTTTGCTGCATGTTCTAAAAGCGATAAATGAAAGTCCAACGTAGAACGGTACACGTACTTGTTTCGTGGGTGTTTTACGGGTACTTCTTTATCG